ATGATATATCAAGAGCTTTGTAATGTTTTGAACAAGCAATAAAAAATAAAAAAAAAAAAAAAAGAAAATACTGGGTTGAAAACATTCCTGGAACAGACAAAATTTCTCAATTCACAATTGCAAAATAGCCAAACATGGTATATGAAACCACCCACATACTTCTGTATATATAGGGTTATTTGCTGCACATAAAAATATATGTATTTTTCCAAAACCGGTCAAGGCATTGTTTTGTCACAAAGTTGCCTTCCCCTCTTCTACTGTAACAAGAGGAATAAAGGTGGGGGTTGGGAGAGGGGGGACCATGGGATATGTCGGTAAGGCACTGATATATTGAATTTAGTTAAATGTTCCCAGTTCCTCAAGGACACCACTGAATCTTCTGAGCGCGATTTTAAAAATTGGAGTTGTCCAAAAGTATTTTAATTAGTACAGTTTGAGGTTTCTGTCAGAGCAGGTTTCCCATTTACAATTTGGAACCATTTCTAGTCCTTTGCCATTTGGCTGGGAGTAGGGACCGGGATAGAAAAAGTTATCCTCTAAGGAAAGGGGCGGGAAAACCCAAATATTTTATGATAGTTTGTTAACGTGTTTAGACGCTTTCGCCTTGTTCTCGTATTAATCCCATTGTCTCCATTAACCTACAGCTGCCATAAGGTCAAACCCATTAACAAATATGGTGTCAAAAGTGTATTCCACCGAACTTGGTCTTTTTCCACTCTGCAAAGAGAAAAAAAAAAATTACAAAAACGAAGACAAAAACGAAACACCAGATCCACAAACACCAAAGCCCAACACGTCTCCTCCAAGGGCTTATCCAGATCAGTAGGATCTAGAGACCTTTGGCTAGAAGTGGATCCGTCTTAGAAGTGGGTCCGACGTGGACGGGCAGGCGATTCCAGTCGATGGCAAACGCTGCGGAGCCCCACCGTCGCCCAGGGAGGGCCCCGGGGGCCGAGGGCCTCACGCAGCGCAGGTCGTCGAACACTCAGCGCGCGCTCTAGGGATGCAAGTACGGAACGGCCGCGCAGGTGCGCGCGCACCTGTCGCCTCCGAGTGAGCGCGCCCGGCAGTGTTCCCGTGCGCGCGCTGTACGTGGGCGCGGAGTCGGTGCGCATCGCGGTTCAGGGATTCGTCTCGGTGTGGAGGAGGAGTCTGGGAGGGGCATTTTCCCGGGCAGTCGCGGCTCCCCCTGGCGGCAGCCGTGAGGCGCTGGAGGCGCGCAGTCAGGCGTTCTCCGCGGGCAGCCGGCGGCGGGGCCTTGCCTTCTAGCGCGGGGTCCTTGGCGGCCTGGGTGGCTACTGCCCCTGCTGCTGTCGTAGGCGAGGACGGCTGTTAGTTCTGCTGCTGTTGGTTCGCGGCGGCGGCGGCGGCGGAGGAGGAGGAGGAGGAAGAGGGCGAGGCGACCGGGGAAGAGGGAGGCAGGCGCAGCGGTGGTGGCGGCGGCGCCCGGGGCAAGCGGCGGCGAGGGGGGGGAAGATGGCGGACGTGCTCAGCGTCCTGCGACAGTACAACATCCAGAAGAAGGAGATTGTGGTGAAGGGAGACGAAGTGATCTTTGGGGAGTTCTCCTGGCCCAAGAATGTGAAGACCAACTATGTGGTTTGGGGGTAAGTCCGGCTTGGCTTGGGCCTAGGGGTGTTGGGCGCCCCCAGGCGACCTCTTTCCTAACCCCTCCCCCTGTTTCCCTTGGGGATGGGGGATAAACGGGTGCTCTGGGAAAAAGTTTCTCTCTAGAGCCCAAGTTGCACTTTTAGGGTGAGGAGGGAAGAGGAGGAACTGTCTGGAGCGGTCCATCCCTTTAAATCTTTGGGAAGCCAAAGGGAACAGTTTGTGACTTTACCAGTTCTTCCCCCCCCCCCCAGTATGTATCAAGTACCAGCAACGTGTAGGGCTGGTGCACAAGTGTACCTGAACGTAAGTGCACAAAGGAGCACACCGTCTGCTGCCGGAGACGTTCCTTTTTGTTCTTAAAATTTTCTTTGAGACTGCCATGTGTTCTGTCTCAGGTGGCTTTTGCAGCTCCTGATCGGTTTCTTCTTCCTTAGTAATTGGGGAGGGTGTTATTCCTCAGGAAGAGAGAAGGGCACGACTGCGTGAAGCTAAGATGGGAAAGAGTTGGTTAATTTGCAATAATCATCAAAAACCAGTGCTAGAGAGGAAAACAGGAGTTTTTCAGTTAGAAAGTTACTGATCACATGAAATGAGCTTTACAGATTTAAGAAAATAATGGTGTGTGATTTTGGAAAGTGTGTATTCAAGAAAAATGTATTGGGACGTCAATCCATGCATGCTACGTGGGGTCTAGTGAATTTTAAGTCGTTCAAGAAAACATCTAGATACAGTTTTAATAATCATTTAATGATTGATCACTGTTATTGATGCTTCGTTTTGGTAATTTGACCTTTAGACCAGAACTTTCCTATTCATTTTGTTTGAGTGGAAAGGGCTTTATGGAGAGTTGATGAAAAACTGGGAAATTTAAGGGATTTCTTTTAGCCTTCTTATTTCATAAGCTTTATGAAATATTGATTAAACGCCATTCTGAATTTCTTGTTTTACCCTTTGAAGATAATTGCATAAGCAATATCTGATTGAAGTAAAAAAACACTTTTTAGTTGTAGATGGACACATATGCACACTGCCGTTATTTTATTTATTTACTTTTATGTGGTGTGGGTGATCGAACCCAGTGCCTCACATGTGCTAGTCAAGTGCTTTACCATGATCTACAACCAAAAAGGCTGGCCCTTGATTGGATTTTTAATGGATATATATATATATATATATGTCTCTATATATCTATATATATAGATATATATAATTAATAACAAATATTCAGGGTTTAGGGCAGTTTAATTCAAGGAATAGAAAAATTCCTGAAACCCTGGCTCCTGACTCAGAAGAATTAATCCAAGTAGAAGAGATAAGAATAAGTAACTTGTGAAAGGCTTTCTATCTCAGAACAGTTACTTCTAGTACAGGTATTTTAAGGAAGTTTTCATAGAAGTATGTGACATATTTGCATCCCACTGAGCTTTTTTGAATGAATGCATGGACAAATGAGTAAGCTTTACAGAATGGGTAAAAACCCAGGCACAGTGGCTCACATCTGAAATCCCAGTTACTCTGGAGGCTGAGGCAGGAGGATTGCAAGTTCTAGGCCAGCCTGGGCAATTTAGCGAGGTCCTGTCTTAAAAGATTGGAGCTGTGTCTCAGTGGTGAAGTGCCCTTGAGTTTAATCCCCATCACCTTACCTCCACCCAGAATGGATAAGAGTTCTGAGTTAAAGGAGGTCTAGGGATGTAATTCAGAGGTAAAGTGCTTGCCTACTAAGCACACAACCCTGGATTCAATTCCCAGTACTCCCTCCAAACAAAAACTAACTTCTTTGAAGGAAAAAAAAAAAAGTGACGGATTAGTCCTTCAGGATGACAGAGCTGTATACTAAAGGCATAAGGGTTGAAAAGGACATGTTTTGACAGCACTTCATTGAAGGCAGTGAAAAGGAATGCTTAAAACAGATTTCAGACTTTTCAGCAGTGAATCACTGAGAAATTTTCCTTTTCTATATGTGTATGTACCACCTGTAAAGATGTATGTATGTATAAAACGTTACATACCCTTATTGCATTCAGTGCATTGTTATTTTTACTCTATCATAAGGAAAAACTGAAATTTCTTTGTACAGTAATAAGTGAGGTGTGGTTTGAAATACATTAATATAGAGATGGTAGAAAAGTCCAATTGGGGACTGGTTATAGTGGGCCGTATTCAAATGAATTCAAATAGTACATTTGAATTATGATGGGTAGATGTAGAGGGAAAGGTGGGATTGAATACCCATCTCTTTCCATCTTCCATACCTTTTGCTTTTTTTTTTTTTTTTTTTTTGGTGGCTGGGGATTGAACCCAGGGCCTTGTTCATGCAAGACAAGCACTCTACCAACTGAGCTATATCCCTAGCACCCCCCCCCCCTTTGCATTTTGGTCTGCTTCCTTGCTGAAAAATCTTTCAGAGCTGTGTGACTTTTTGAAATAGGATAAAGGGTGGGATTGGACATTAAGTTAGTTATATATAGCCCCAGTTTCTCAGGCACTGAACACAAAGTATGGCCCCACTTAGGTTTGGCCAGCTATAAATAGGTGATCTTCTAGAGCAGCTTACCCATAGGTGACAACCTTGGGGAGCTTGTTCCTGTAGACTGTATTGTTTTATTACAATTTGTTTTCTTTTAAGGATCCTCCGTTCTGTAACTGATATTTATTTATTTTTGGTACCAGGAATTGAACCCAGGGGCCTTTAACTACTGAGCCACATCCCTAGCCCTTTTTTGTATTTTATTTAGAGACAGAGTCTCAATGAGTTGCTTAGTGCCTCTTCATTGCTGAGTCTCCTCTGGCTCCTGAGCTGCTGGTATTTACAGGCAAGTGCCACTGCACCCAGCTCAGCTCCCAGCACTTTTTAATATTGTGTTCAGAGATGGGGTCTCATTGAGTTGCTTAGGGCCTCTCCATTGCTGAGTCTGGCTTTGAACTCATGATCCTCCTGCCTTGGCCTCCCACTAGGATTACATGCATGCATGGTGGCAAATGATTAGGTTTTTTTCTCTGTTGATAAAGCGCAGATCCTAATTTGGGTCCAGTTCTAAAAAGTTTATATTGTTCTTTAGAGTAAAAATGTGTGTGTTTTCCCTACTTCTTGCGTTTTGTTATTGCCTTCCTTTGTGTTCTTTTTGCTTTCCTGACATTACACTTAATAGATTTTATAATTTAGGGGCTTTGTTTTTTTTTTTTTTCTTTGGTACTGGAAAGTGAACTCAGAGGCACTTAACCACTGAGCCAAATACTCAGCCTTTTAAAAATATTTTATTTAGGAAACTGGGTCTCATTGAGTTGTATAAGGCCTCGCTGAAGCTGGTGTTGATCCCATTATCCCAAGCCTTCCCAGCTTCCCCAGCGGGGATTACTGGCATGTGCTACTGCTTCAGACATTTTTGTGTATTTTTTATTATTTATTTTTATAATTATAGATGGACAGCATGCCTTTATTTGATTTTATTTTTTATGTGTTGCTAAAGATCGAACCTAGTGCCTCACACATGTTAGACAAGTGCTCTGTCACTGAGCTATAGCCCCAGCCCCAGCCCCAGTTATGTGTGTATTCGTTAGCTATGTTAAGTACATTGTTGGATGGTCAAGTAGGTAAAGATGAATCAATACATGTACCTTAGCCCAAATAATTGAATTTAAATTGTGAATAAAAATTTTGCTTTAATTATTTCAGGACTGGAAAGGAAGGCCAACCCAGAGAGTACTACACTTTGGATTCCATTTTATTTCTACTTAATAATGTGCACCTTTCTCATCCTGTTTATGTCCGTCGTGCAGCTGTAAGTAGGGTTTATTTTAAAACTTGTTTTTTAACTTAATTGTTTATAGGTATAGTTTGGCATGGATAATTTACCTTATGGATCACAAACGTATAAGTTTCCTGGAGGATTAAAATTTGGCTACTTTATGATTAATACAAATTTTTTAATCTGTGTTTTTTTTTTAATGTGAAATACACATCATGTTATAACAAGAGAAGTTATAAAGGTATTTACAGAGATGTTTTTATAAAAATTTATAAGATATGGGAAGGATCCTGATGTTTTGGGAAAAAATTTATTTTGGTCATAAAAGTATTAACAGACATTGTTTTAGAATTAATTGATTTAGCAGTTATTTTCATACTTGATAAATTCATTTGTTTTCAGTTTTGCTTGCTTTCTCAGTATTTGAAAATCTTTTACTTAGATACAAATCTTTAGAAACAATTTGAAAATAACTAATTTCATAGAGGCTGTGATGATGACATTCTAGGGAAGTTCTTTATTATAATCCATAATACATTTCAGAGTTATTTGGGTATGATAGCTGTGTGGCATTGCAAATTGCTATAAATACCTAAATAAAATGCCCCCAAATGATAATACTCAGTTTTTAAAATTAAGCCCACAGATTCTTTTTGATAGAATTTGATATATTTTTTGAGATACTGAAATAATTAAATATCTGGTTACAATATTGTTTTAGCATTCTTACAAGTTCTACTTTATTGAAATGTATTAATTTATAAATACTTTTTCATTTCTTAGAGTTTTAAATGGTTTTATTCAAGCTTCATAAATATCTTCATGTCATCATTAGAGCTTTTGAGTTATTGCTAGTTTGCATTTAAAAAAATTTTTTTTTTAGATGTAATGGGTCTTTTTTTTTTTTTTAAGAGAGAGAGAGAGAGAATTTTAATATTTATTTTTTAGTTATCGGCGGATACAACATCTTTGTTTGTATATGGTGCTGAGGCTCGAACCCGGGCTGCACGCATGCCAGGCGAGCGCGCTACCTCTTGAGCCACATCCCCAGCCCCTGTAATGTCCTTTATTTTATTCACTTATTTATATGCAGTGCTGAGAATCGAACCCAGTGCCTCACAACACATGCTAGGCAAATACTCTACCACTGAGCCATAACTCCAGCCCCTAGTTGCATTTTATCTGTGTAAAATTTAGTTTTATAAATTTTCCCTCCTTTCTAACTAATAGTTGAAATTACTGACTTATGCATGGTATCTTAAATAATAACTTGCTACTTAAAGCAGTTGAGAAGAAGGTGTCATTTCATCTGATAGGTTTTTGTAAGAATTAAACCATAGATTCTGCTTTTCTGAGCTAGATATACATTTATACATGTTTAGTGTTAAATACTTATACTTGGTAAATATTGGAGAAAAATATTGGCATTTCTGTAAAGATATTTTGTATCATCTTTAAAAATTGAGTTGGCAGAAATTAGTGTTTTTTTTTCTGATATATCCATTTATTTTGGAATAATAAAGGTGTTTTAAGCATTCAGTTTAGATTTATGGATCATGTTCTTTTAGAATGGTTGTAGAGTATAATTAATGGATAGTTATTATTACTGTGGACCTTGTCACATAAGATTATAATTTTGTTTTTCTTAAATATTTCTCAAATTAGTGGTGTAGAATTCTAAAATTCCAGGGCTCCACTTTTCTGATTTCTTGATGTTATTTGCTTTTTCGTGTGAACAGACCCTTCTTGAAATAAGTATTCTGGCTCCTATTTTATTTTTATTTACTTACTTTAAACAAGAAAAAAAAATATATGTATATATACAGTGCTGAGGATTGAACCCAGTGCCTCACACATGATAGGCATGTGCTCTTCCACTGAGTCACAACCCCAGGCCCCTGGCTCATATTTTAGTATGTGTAGACTTATGTCTTTTAGTTGGCTATAATGTGTATGTTATTCAATAGTGACTAAGCAATGAAGTATATTATTAAACTTAGAAATAGTAATTTGAAGAAAATTAATTCAAATATTTTAAACTATAATATTCCATGATGACTTATTTGGGGAAAAAAACCTGCAAACATGCACACACAAAACCCATGGACTTTAAAAGTTTTATACTCCTAAGGAGAAATGAAAATTTAGCTTGATCTTTTAGGGGAAAAAAAAGAATAATTTTTAAGTGATTAACTATTCAACTAAGTAATCAAGATGTAAGTACAGAATGTTTGGCATAGTGAAATGTAATCAATATTCATTGTGAAATAATTGCCCATTGATATTAAGGGTTCTCAGGTTGGGGTTATGGCTCAAGCGGTAGCGTGCTCGCCTGGCATGCGTGCGGCCTGGGTTTGATCCTCAGCACCACATACAACAAAGATGTTGTGTCGGCCGAAAACTAAAAAATAAATATTAAAAAAAATAATTCTCTCTATCTCTCTCTCTCTCCCTCTCTCTTTAAAAAAAAAAAGATATTAAGGGTTCTTATTCTTTGTTTTTGTTATACATGGACAAAGGATTTAAACCTGTATAATCAATTTGCCATCATTTTTTCTTACACTGTTAACATTAGAAAAATGATATAGCAGTTGTGGTAGCGATAGGATTCATTGATTTCCTGGCCCAAGAGTTATTCTTACCTGAACTATACAGTTTTATTTGCTCACCTCTTTACATCTTGATAATGTAGGTTAGTATAGGAAAATTATCCATTTTTCTGAAATGGATACATTTTTTCAGGTTCATTTTTTAATCTTTTTTCCCCCCTATTTACAGAATTTATACATACTCAAGGATAAAAAGAAATATGTAGAAGGTAAACAATCACCATACATTTTTCTGTATAATCGCCTGTGCTTTTCTCCCGTCTAAACAACATGTGCATATTGTTAATTATGAAAATTTAGTTTTAGTGGCTAATTCGGTTTATTTGGAAGAGGTCATGCTGAATATTTTGAAGAGACCTGGTTTTTGCGTGAGAAAAGAAAGCACTGTTGAGATGGTGCATAAACTGAGAAACCAGACTAAAAGTTATTAAATGTTTGACTTGCAGACCTCTTGAATGCAGTTAAAAAAAATAAGGACCTAGAGTAAGCCATGAGGAAAAAAAAGACTGAAATTAATATTTTGAAAAGAGAGTTACTGTTTCCTTTCTAATAATTATTTTTAATACATCTTCCTGGAATTTCCAAAATAAAATTACTAAAAATAAACATTTAAAAAATTTTTCAAGATTTTTAGGTTCTTTTAGCTTAGCATATTTTTTTACAAATCTGATTTTAATGTTATCAAGATATTGGAGTAAATTCAGAGATCATTTGAACTTATCAGGTTTTATATAGTTGTTATCTATTTAATAGTAATTTAAAATTTTGGTTTCAGACTGAAAATATTCCTGTGGTTAGAAGACCTGACCGAAAAGATCTTCTTGGATATCTCAATGGTGAAGCATGTGAGTACCTTTTAAATTGCTCACTCTTTTTTTTTTTTTTTTTTTTTAAAGTATTTTTTAGGGGCTGGGGATGTGGCTCAAGTGGTAGCGCGCTCGTCTGGCATGCGTGCAGCCCGGGTTTGATCCTTAGCACCACATACCAACAAAGATGTTGTGTCTGCCGATAACTAAAAAAATAAATAAGTAAATATTTAAAAAAAGATAAAGTATTTTTTAGTTGTAGATGGGCATAAAACATTTATTTATTTATTTATTATGTGGTGCTAAGGATTGAACTCAGAGCCTCACATGTGTGAGGCAAGTGCTCTAAGATTGAGCCACAACCCCAGCTCCCTAAATTGCTCACTCTTAAGTAGCAATTGTTAAGTAGCAATTGTTCCCCCCATGAAATAAGTATTGGAAAATTTATATTCCCACTAAAAAAAAAATAAATAACGTAGCTCTGTTCATATGTTCCTCTTTCTAGTAATAGTGATTATGCTTTGTCTCTAAGGCTAGTAATCCCTGTTGTATGTGGATTTTTTTCACATTCTCAAAAGACTACTTGTGTAAATTATTGTTTCTGTCTTGCCTCAATCAGTTTTCTCCTTTTTTCTTCATCATTACTTTTTAGAACACATATAGTAAAATATCTCATTAAAAAAATGTTTTTGACTTCAGGTTTTATCTGCTGGTCCATTTGTTTTGTCTATTACTGCAAAAATTCTTTGCAAAGTTCTTTGCTATTTCTTTATCTTGATTGTTTCTTGAAGTCACTCCTGTGTGACTTTTATTGATACCGTCCTACTGAAATTATTCTAAAGTCAGCAGAGAGTTATGCTATCCATTGGGCTCCCTTACCTTTCTCCACCTGTCACCACATTTGTTACTATTAACCACTCCTATTTTTGAAAGTCTTTCTTCACTTGGCATTTGTAACAATCCAAACAGTTTTTCTTAAAGAGGGGTGGAACTAGACAAGGTAATTTTAAAATTTGGTGAAATATCCTAAAAAATTGTGGAAGAGCAAGAGAAAAAAACTAGTTATTTTAGATTTTGGAAGTTTTAACAAAGCCCTAATAATTTAAGAACTGAGAGAGAGTTGATAAACTAATAAACAGTTTTTAATCTGTAGGATTAGAAGTACATATGTTAATTTAACATGAGTAGAAAGAGGCATGTCAAATCACTGGGGAAAGATGGGATTATTCAGTTAATAGTTTGGTAAAGGTAAAAAAGTTATGTATTTTAATAAAAGACTTGACAAACTGATAAGAAATATTTCAAATTTTATTAGAAAAAAAACTGTCTCAACTGATATATGAAGTTGTTCTGGAAATATGTACCAAAAGAGACCATGAATTTCGGTCATACAGTTCACTAATCCAAAGAAAATATGGTAAATATGCTAATTTCTTTCAAAAATCAATTACAAACTATTCAAAGATATTTAAAAAATTATTATTCTAATTAGTTATACATGACAGTAGAATGCATTTTGACACATCCTACGTAAGTTATGATATAGCTTCTCATTCTTCTGGTTCCTTCTCAGTCCTCTACATATATTGTCCACGTATGTAGTCATATGCTCAGAGGGTATTAATGTCTGATTCATTCTACTGTCTTTCTACTCCTATTTCCCCTCCCATCCCTTCATTTCACCTCTGCCTAGTCCAAAGTACTTCTGTTTTTCCCTAGGGCACCCCTCCCCATTGTGAATTGGCATTTGCAATTTAGAGAAAACCTTCAGCCTTTGGTTTTTTGGGATTGGCTTATTCTGTTTAGCTAGATGTTCTCCAGCTTCATCCATTTACCTGTAAATGCCATAATTTTGTCCTTCCTTAAGGCAAAGGATATTCCACTTGTGAATAAATACCACATTTACTTTATCCATTCATCTGTTGAAAGGCACTTAGGTTCCTTTCATAGTTTAGTTATTGTGAGTTGAGCTGCTGTAAACTTTGATGTGGCTGTATCACTATAGTATGCTGATTTTAAGTCCTCTGGGTATAGATGGAGAGAGATAACTGGGTCAAATGGTGTTTCCATTCCATGTTTTCTGAGGAATTCTCCATACTGCTTTCCATAGTGGTTGCTCCAATTTGCAGTCCCACCACCAATATATGATGAGCTTATTTTTTATTTTTTCTAATTAGTTATACATGAAGTAGAATACATTTTGACACGTTGTCTACAAATGGAGCAAACTTCTCATTCTTTTGGCTGTACGTGGTGCAGAGTCATTCTGGTATAGTGTGATCATACATGTGTATAGGGTGATAATATCCATCTTATTCCACCATCCTTCCCACCGTCAAACCCCTTCCCCTCCCCTCACTCCTCTCTTCCCAATTCAAAGTTCCCTTACTCTTCCTTAACCCACTCCATTATGGATCAGTATCTGCTTATTAGAGAAAACATTTGGCCATTGGTTTTTAGATTTGGCTTATTTCACTTAGCATGATATTCTTTAGCTTCATCCATTTACCTGCAAATGCCATAATTTCATTTTTCTTAAGGCTGAGTAATATTCCTTTGTGTATATATACCATATTTTCTTTATCCATTCATTTGTTGAAAGACACCTATGTTGATTCCATAATTTAGCTATTGTGAGTTGAGCTACTATAAACATTGATGTGTCTGTATCATTGTAATATGCCAATTTTAAGTCCTTTGAGTATAAACCAAGCAGTGGGTTCAAATGGTGGTTTCATTCCATGTTTCTGAGGACTCTCCGTACTGCTTTCTCCCTAGTGATTGCACCAATTTGCAGTCCCACCACCAATGTATGAATGTACCTTTTTCCCACATCCTTGCCAACATTTATTTTTATCTGTATTCTAATAATTCCCATTCTTTTTGGAGTTAGATGAAATCTTAGAGTAGTTCTGATTTGCATTTCTCTACTTGCTAGAAATGTTTAACAAAAATAGCAGTTTTTAACCTAACATTTTAATAATATGCTCTAGACAAACTGTAAGGAAACATTTTGCATTGTTATTTATATTCTCAATAATTACAACCCTTGTTGAAGATGTTGGCAGTCTGTCACCACAAAATTAACTTAGAAATCCTATATCTGGAACTTTATCCTAGAGGCATATTTGAAAATGTATGAAGTGACATATATATAGTTTCATTTTACCATTGTTGGTAGTGACAGAAGACTGTTAGAACTGCTCATCTGCAAGGAATTGGTTAAATAAATTATAATCCATACAATAGCATATACTGTAGTTGTAAAGAAAAGAGTTAAAGAAATGCCCTATATGCCGATGTGGAAGAATGTAAGAGAGAATACTGTTATGTAAACAGAAAAGTAAGGTTCAGAACATTTTGTCAGAATAAAAGGTTAAAATAAAAGTAAAATTTTGTATTTCTTATATCTACAGAAAGAAACTCTATAGAGAGATATATAAGCACAACCAATGGTTATATAGGATGGTAGAATCTAGGTCGAGGGGGACAGTTTCCTTATTTTGAGTCATTAAAAATAATTCAAGGGACTGGGGTTGTGGCTCAGTGGTAGGGCGCTTGCCTAGCAATTGTGAGGCACTGGGTTCAATCCTCAGCACCACTTAAAAGTAAATAAATAAAGGTTAAAAAAATGCTTTAAAAATAATAATAATTCAAGCTGGGCACAGTGGCACACACAGTCCCAGCAGCTTAGGATGCTGAGGCAGGAGGATCTCGAGTTCAGTGTCAACCTCAGCAAAAGTGAGGTGATTAGCAACTCAGTGAGACCCTGTCTCTAAATAAAATACAAAACAGTGCTGGGGATGTGGCTTAGTGGCCTGGTACTCCTGAGTTCAATCCCCACTACCCTGTCCCCAAATAATTCAAAAGGTAATTGAAAGTTTTCTACCAATTGTAAAGAATTAAAGATTTCATGTTTAACGTGAATGTTAACTTAAAAAACTTACCCTCATATATGTGTGATCATATTTATATTTAGGTAAACTTTTTAATGTACATGTGTTGTGATTCTGAAGTATAGTCTTTGAAGCAGTTCATCTCAGTAATATGTAAGCTAAATTATTAAGAATAGTTCTCATAAGCTTTCTAATACAGATTAATCTTTTTATAAAATACTTCTACAATAATGCTTTAAAATTTACTTTTTTTTGGAGTAAGTCGCCACACAGAAATACAAACTATGATAAAGCTTGTGAATTTTACTTGTAATAAAATCCAATATGTGTTTAAATATTGATCTGTTTATATGAATGTTTTTTAATTTTTCAGCAACATCAGCAAGTATAGACAGAAGTGCCCCTCTAGAAATAGGTCTTCAGCGATCCACTCAAGGTATGCCTTGTCACATCTTTATTTGAACTTTCACAAATCCATCCCAAAACTATACATTTATTTACTTCTCTTTTTCTTAAAGTCAAACGAGCTGCAGATGAAGTTTTAGCAGAAGCAAAGAAACCAAGAATTGAGGTAATAGAATTTATTTAAAGATCATTCATATTGTTTCTGAAATTGAGATTGTTTGATAACAAGAGTTGTTTGTAGTAATCCTAGGAGTTTTGTTTTTCTGGATTTTAATTATATTATTGTTCTTATTTTTTGTAAATTTTTAAGAAATTCCATATCTGTTTCATATAAAACCCCCTGAAATGGTGATTAACACTCTAGAGGAATGCTTAATCTTAATTTTAATTAAACAAATGATTGAACCTATCATCTGTCAATTAACATTGAAGAGATAACACTTGTCTCCATCAGTGGTATTAATTAATGTTGCTAGAAACCATGAATGTTCTTATTTTAGACTTTTATCAGAACTAATTTTCTTTCCAAAGAGAACTGAATTTTTTTAGTTGGCAAAAACTGTATATTATAAATAGTATTAAGTTTTAAAATACCTCTACACTGCGGCATGACTCATTTGAGCTAATTAATACTTAACATTACTTCACACACTTATCATTGTAATGAGAACAATAAAAACTTCCTTTTAGCAGTTTTCAAAGAAAAATTACTCAGCAATTTTAAAGTATAATACACTTATTAACTATAGTCATTGTGTTATGCAGTAGATCTGTAAAAATAACTATATATTTTTTATGTATTTGTTTTTTAATACTTTTTAAAAATATTTAAACAACTTTTGATTTTTTTTATTTTTTATCTGGTGCTGGGGATGAAATCCAGGGCCTCATGCGTGCCAGGCAAGCACTCTACCACTGAGCTATAGCCCCAGTCCCATAAGTATATTTCTTATGTGGCTTCTATTTCATGTAAACTATCCTTAACATTCCTTAAGGAATATTAAGCAATATTAATATTCTATTTGCTAGCTAAAGTGCTACAAGAAATCTGAAACCCATTAAGTCAGTATTTTAATGAAGTAAGCACTTCACAGCTCTGAAGAGTAGAGCAAATTCCCATACCACCTTATTCTAGGGATAGGCAAACTAGGACCCAAAGGCCAATTCTGGCCTACCACTATCTCATAAAACCTTTTATAAGGGGCAGAGCACAGGGTTGTGGCTCAGTAGCACAGCATTCGCCTAGCATGTGTGAGGCACTAGGTTCAATCCCCAGCACCACATAAAAATAAACAAAATAAAGATATTGTATTCATCTACAACTAGAACAAATATATATATATATATTTTTGTCTGCTATATGGATAGTAAAGCATCCACAATTAAAGATAAGAAAGGTAACTTGAAGGGACAGGATTGGTTGATAATTTATATATAGTGCAACCAGTGATAAAATTGATGCTAAAATAATGTAATTTTAATTAGGTATATTCTGAAACACAGACTTGATATATTTCACATAATGACAAAAATGATAACTGATTCATTGTTAGTGCTATGTGCTAGGGGATAGTCTAAATACTTCATGTGTATTTACTCATTTAACTTCACCACAATCTCTTGAAGTTTGTGGTACTAGGTTTGAGACATGTGAGCCTTGACGTGTGGTACTAGGCTTGATGTGTGAAGCTCCAGAACAAAGAAGGGATTTGCCAAAGTTCGAAGAACTAGTATTAGAGCCAAGGTACTCTGGATCCTAGCTATTCTGTTAACCCTTGGTACAAGTTTTATGGCAGTAAAACTGAAAATTTGCTCAATTTATGAGAGAATATTGTGACTGACAGTTGACAAAGGGAGTGAAGTCAGGGATATCATTTGATCGGAAAAGTCTGAACATCATAATTTAGTTATTTGAAAAAATTGAACATGTTAGAAATGCTAAATTGCTAAGATTCCAGTAGCTTGAAAAATCAACATAAAATAGCATAGATTTTTTCCAGATCATTTTATAAAGTAGTATTGTATTATATAAACACATTACCTAAGCAATTTTTAGTTTTAGTTCAGTGTATGAATATTACATTATACCAGGAAAAAGAAACCTTGAGGGAAGGGTTTCTGATTTGATTAAAGTCTAGATTGCAATTGTCTTTTAATTTGCAGTTCCTTAAGGAACTTGACTATTAGGGGTTATATACCTTTATTATAAATGAGAAAAATATAATGCATTTGCCAAAATAGCCTTCCATTCATTTCAGCCCATGTGTCCATTTGAAGATTACTGTTAGTGCAAGAATTGGAGTCCCCCATATTTTTTGATCTATCGAGTAGGCTCTGCTTTTTTTTTTTTAATACAATTTCATATTCATTAGCCATTGGACATGGACTCTGATCATTTGCTTATTTATTGCATATAGGCATGAAACTAAATTAGAATTATTGATTTTTGTCTTGTTAAGTATTCAGACATTTTAGCTGACATCCTGAAATACATAAATATATATTAAAAGTTGAGCTACCAACTAACTGAGAGTGGTGGATGTGGTGGCTCATACCTGTTATCCCAGCATCTTAGGAGACTGAGGCAGGAGGATCACTAGTTCAAAGCCAGCCTCAGTGATTTAGCGAGGCCCAGTGCAACTCAGTGAGATCCTGTCTCTAAATAAAATATAAAAAAGGGCTGGGATGTGGCTTAGTGGTTATGTACACCTGGGCTTAATTGCCTGTATGGGAAAAAAAAAATTTTTTTTTTTTGAGCTACCAAAATTAAATGTCAGTCAAGATCTTGAAGTTGCCTGGGACACTTTATAAGAAATCTAATGTTCTAAGGAACATGCTTTGAAAACTATTAAAGTTTTGCTCGGTTTGGGACTTGTGGCAACAGATGGAAAAAAAACCCCTAGATTCAAAATGAAATTTTTGACTCTGATGAAGGCTTCTCATAATATTTAGTTTCCTCAGTTATAAAGGATCGTTTGTTGTATGATATGTTTCTGAATAAAAGTAGTTATGATGTATTATGGAAAGAACACTTAATCATAGAAATAAATGACTAAGCAAGTTTTTTTTGTAAGCTTTTACAGATGATCCTAGACAATTTTTTGGCTTTTTTAATGGTTCAGAAATGTTACATACACATTGACTTGAAAGTGTTCCACTTTTAGCACAGTATTCAACTAATAATAATTGTTCTCCAACACTTAATAATAAAGTTGGTTTTTGTGTAGGTTAGAGGATATATTCTGAGCACATTTAAGTAAGTTATATCAAGCTATAATGTTTGGTAAGGTCAGTGTATTAAATGCACTTGTGGTCTATGTTATTTTCAATTTATTATGGGTTTATCAGAATAGAACCCCTTTGTTAGTTGAGGAGCATTTATAGTTAGTTCTAGTCTTTTCGTTCTGTTTTGTTTTTGGTACCAGCTATTGATCTCAGGGGCACTCAATAATGGAGCCACATCCCCAGTCCTAATTTGTATTTTATTTAGAGACAGGATCTCACTGAGTTGCTTAGGGCCTCGCTTTTGCTGAGGTTTGCTTTGAACTTGGAGCCTTCTGCCTCAGCCTCCTGAGCCACTGTGATTCCACGTGTGGGCCACTACGCCTGGCATAGCTCTATCTAGTCTTAAATGATTCAGCATATATTTTGTTGTGGTTTTCTTTGTGTAACTAAAAGTATCCTTAAAGTTCATGAAAGTCATGGATTACTTCCATGGAAATGTGTAGGTGAGGATTTTGTAAGGAAAAATTATGTACAGTGATTTTTTTTTCATAAAACTTTATATAAAGTTCAATGGTAGACTGCATGCTTAGCATACCCAAAGCCCTTAGCCCTTCAGTTCTTAGCACTGCAAAAAGTTTTTTTTTTTTTTTT